GTCCGCAGCGCTGGAGCAGGGCGGCGGCGCCCGCCCGGGGAAGATGTCGCTGCCCATCGGTGTGCCGCGACGAGCCTTCAGCTACGATGATGCCCTGGAGGACACGGCGCCCATGACGCCACCGCCTGCTGACCTGTGTTCGAACGTCCTCTGGAAGCAGCCGGTTATCCCTGAGCGCAAGTACCAGGAGCTGTCGAGGGTACGGGATGGACGTGTTCCCTGGGTGCCACCGCAGCACTGACATCCCTCTGTCTTGGCATTCCCTGCTCCCCCCTGTCTTGGCATTCCCTGCTCTCCCCTGTCTTGGCATCCCCTCCTCTCCTGGCCCTGACTGCCTTCTCCTCGTCTCCTGAGACCCTTCTCCTTGCCACCCCACCCTCCTGTTAGCCCCCTGTTGGTACTCTTGTTGTCTGAGACCACAGGAGGGACAAGGAGCTGGCATTGCTGCCTGACCCTGCTGTGTACACACCAAGGGTGATTGGGACAGGCAGGTGCTGAATGTCTCCTCGGTGTTTGTGGATAAGGAAAGCAGCAGTTGGGAATAATTAAACCGGAGGAAAAGGGTGGGTTTAGGTTGGATGTAAACGCTTTGAAGAGAGGGTGGTGAGGTACTGGCTTAGGTTGCCCAGAGAGGCTGTGGATGCCCCATCCTTGGAAGTGTCCCAGGCCAGGTTGGATGGGACTTAGAGTAACCTGGGCTAGTGGAAGATGTCTCTGCCTATGGCAGGGGGTGAAACTAGATGACATAAGTTCCTTTCTAACCCAAACCATTCTGGGATTCTATGCCTTGAGTGCAGGACCAGCCCTTTTAAATTTAGAGGTTGTTCTCTAAGTTTGAAGTGAAATTAAATGTTGTTGACTGGAAGTATGTAACTCTTTATCTGTTTGAGCTTAACCTCTACTTTAAGCCTCCTTTTATTTTAAAATCTGCTGTGGAAGAGAGCCCAAAGTTGTGGTTTGGTACAAAAAGCAAACTCTCCAGTCAGAGAGGAGTACCCCCTGTTTTAGGAGGAGGAAGTCTGTGTGTTTCACAGGATTTCTTGTTTTCTGCCATTTGTTGTCTGTTTTTCCCCCGGGGTCTTGTGATTAGTGGTAGAGCTGTGACCCCTGGATACACTGAGCAGTGAGGTGGAAAACAAGGTGTTCACACCAGGCTCTCCTCTGCTACTGCCATTCAGTAAACAGCTTCTGTTTGAGCTGCCTGTGCTCTTGCCTAGTTGACCTTGAAGTCCAATTTGCATTTAGGAGAAGTGCAGATGTTCTGGTTCCTTTACTGTTGACCTTTTTGTACTTGGAATAACAGCTTGTTGGAAGATTTTCAAATGTTGGATGCAAGTTGCTTGTTTATTGCTACAAATTAGAAGGTTCAAGCTCTGAACATTCCTGGACTGCAGTGAGGGGATTTCTCCCATGGGATAAAGGTTGGCTGCTGGAGCAGCTTGTCTCATGTCTCACTTGTGTAGAGATGAGTCCTGTCCCCATGCTGAGATACTTTCCCATCTCAAACTGTTCTGCTCCTTCCCCACAGGTTGAGGATGGGGATGCAAACATGAATGCACCTTTCATGACTCCTTCATCATCCACTGAAAGTGTGAACAAGGTGCCTGTGGTGAAGGCCAAGGCCACTCACATCATCATGAACTCCCTCATTACAAGTAAGAACTCACCTCTCATGTGGTGGCTAACGGGGTGTGGGCACAGGAGTGTGCTCTGGCTTGGTGGTGCCTGGAGAGCTCATGGGCTCACACTGACCCTGTTCTTGAGCTGAGTGAGATTTTTGGAGGATGCTTCTAGAAGGAAGCAAGGAACTAGGGAATAGGGCACACTTAGTGGCTCTGTGTTTCCAGGATGTGGATGACGAGGGAGGAGTGCAGTGTCCTTTGTCTGCTGACAGGACACTGCAGTCTGTTGCTGGAGTGCACAGGCTGCTGCTCTGTTTGCTTATTAACTTGTTATTTCTGAATGACAGGCAGAGCTCCAGCATTAACCCAAGTAGTGAGGAGAGCTGGCATGCTGTGCTAATGGAGCACTTGCTGGCATTTATGTCATTTAATAGCAGCAGCAGCTGCTTTGCTAACAGTCACACTTCAGAAAAAACAAACCTCATAAATCATGATGCTTTAAAGCAAAATTGGGTCAGTTCTGTTTGCAGAGGAGATGTGCCCTTTTGCAACAGGAGAAATTACTGTGTTAATCTGTCCCTGCTGCCTCTTCTTTCAGCCTCTGGGATCTGAGCTTCAGCTTTTCCTCCAAGCCGTGCTTCCAAACACTTCCACATTTTCAGACCAGCATTTTGGAATAGTTATACCTTTATTTTTATTTCAGTCTTGGCTCAAAATTAACCAGGACAGCATGAAATAACATCCAGGAATATGGATTTTTCTTCTGGAATGCAGCTCATATTCTAGTCAAATGATAAATGCTAATCTGGTTAAAACCATGATGGCCTAAAAATGTTCTTGTGCAGTAGGAAGTCAGGAGCCCCAGCCTGCTCCTCCCACGGAGAACATTCAGTCACAAGTTGGAAATAAACAGAGCTACTCTGGGTTTGTCATATCTGAAGTGTTCTGTTCCTGCAAGTAACTAACATGGGAAGTGTTAGCTGTTTTAAAGAAGACATTGGGCTCTTCCATAACCTTTTTTGTGCTGATTCCTTTTGACCTTTTTCCTAGTTCCACTAGGGAGTGAACATCTTACACTGGGGGTGAGGAGAGTGCTTATATTTTTCAGAACTGAAGTTGGTATCAGTATATTATATGCTGACTCTGTATTTGGCTGAAATAGCTTATTTTACCTTGTGTAGAGTCACTGGGAATCTTTAACAGCTGTTCTGCAAAGCTCCCTTGAATCTAGAGACACTTAAAATGTCCAACTTGGGGTCTTGAAGGTTTAGGAAGTTGTAATTAGGAGTGATGCAGTGTCTTGGATGAGATGGGATTAATTGCAGGTGTTGCATTTGTAATGTATCTGGTGATCTGGGACAAATTCCTGTTCATCTGACTTAGCCTTGTGCCTCAGGATAGTTTTCAAGTCAGAAGATCTGATCACCTTCACCTTTCTGCCTCAGCTTGTTACAACCTGTAGGTATGAATGGTAATAAAAGGTTTTTACATTGAGATGCTTAAGTTGCCTTTGCTGGAGCTGCTTGGGGTGGCATTTGTGTGAGAATTTGTGCTGTTGTTCGTTGCAGAGCAGACCCAGGAGAGCATCCAGCGCTTCGAGCAGCAGGCAGGGCTGAGGGAGGCTGGGTACACCCCCCACAAAGGCCTCACCACTGAGGAGACCAAGTACCACCGAGTGGCTGAGGCTGTCCATGTAAGGCTTGTTTCCCACTGCATTTCTCCATGTAGGATATGTACTAAACCTATCTGGTGACATAACTTCTGCTAGGACTCTCCTTAAACTGCTTCTTTTGAAGACTTTTAGCTCACTGTGTACAAAAGGTTACCTGCTTGTATTTTAAAGTTAGCATTAGCCTTTTTTTTTTTTGTCTCAAATCTGTCATATTTCACTGTCATGTCAAACTATCACAGTTGTCTTTCCAAGTGGGGACATCCCTACATAGAATCCAGTTGACTGCTGTACCTTTGGATGGTGCCCTGGAGTTGACTTGTGTAACTGTTTGTCCCAAGAGAACTTGTAAACTGTGCGTTTCCCATGTGGAAGTTACCAGATGGGATTGGGCTTGTTTCTTCCTGAAAACAAAGGTCTTGAATCAACATGTTTCTGGTGAGCTCAGTTGCCCACAGTGATCTTGCAGTTGGAATTTAACAGTGAACTCTCCCAGTGTCCTCCCACGAGGTCAAAGTTTCACTAACAGTTTAGGAAGTGCATTAGTGTGGCTTGAATAGCCACAGGAGACATTACAAGGTGCCTGTGCAGTTTGCGTTTGAACTGTAACTGCCCTTCGAGTGACTCTTCAAAGTTCAGTTTGTACTGTCCAGCTTGCAATAACCTGTTTTGCATACACCCAGTTCCTGTTTATTCTGTGGCCAGGTTCATCTCTGTTCCAGAGCAGTGTTTCCATCCTGGTTGCCTCACAGGGTCTGGCACTCCTGATCTTGTGTCTTCTGTGAGCTCTGATCTTATGTTTGTTAGAGAACTTGTGAGACTGGAAGCTTTGTTGCCCTGAAAAGTCCTGCAGACAAATGGTTGTTGTGGCATTTAGATCTGTTACAGGTAGCTGAGGTGAAGTGAGCTCTGCTGCATCCACAACCTTTCTCCCATGGGTGCTGGTGCTCCTTCCTCTAGCCTGGAGGATGTGTCCTGAGCACAGTGAATTTCCAAAATCCTTGTGTCTGACATGGAGAGAGGGTTGAGGGGTGTTTACAGGTACTGTAGTACTGGGTGTAACTTTAGGTAGTGGCACTTTATCCCTTGTGATCTAAACAATTTATTTGACAATAAAACTGAGGGTTTCTTCCTTGTGTCTCATACTCAAGCTCTGTTGCCTCTATGTTTCTCTTGCCTCTCCTAACAGAACCTAAAAATGCAGAGTGGAGAGACAACAAAAGATGACAAACAGAACTCCTCTGCTCAATCCACTCCAAGTAGCACTCCCCACTCTTCTCCCAAGCATAAAAACAGGTACTCTGGGCCTGGCAGGCCACTGCCTCCTTTGTTTTCCTACAGGCTGCTGTGGGAGCTGCCACAAATAATTTTCTTACCCAGTGAGGGACTGTAAGGGGTGAAATTCAGAGCCTGCTGTGGGTTTGTGGTAGGTAGATCCAAATCTTGGAAGCCTGTGGAACTTGAGCATCCTGGGTGGTAACAAACCTATCAGGATTGCTTAAATTGCCCATGTTAACCACATGGAAAGTTCCTGGCACAGTGGGGTCACTTGAAGTGTTTATTCTCATGTTTTATACCTCTCAGTGACTTATTTTTTTTCCCCTTAGGGGCTGGTTTAGTCAGGGATCCTCTTCTTCTCTTACTGGCTCAGACTTTGCCTTGGAAACTGGTGGGGACAGATTGCCATCTGAAAGGTGGAGCTTTTTTGGGCCCAAAACCGTGCAGAAATACACCAGTGATCCAGGTATGTCCTTGAAAATCCCTTGCCTTGCAAGAGCTGGGGGGAACTGTCACACAACAAACTTGGTAGCTCTTTCTGGAGTCACATCCTGCTTGCCTGCCTCAGTACTTTTGAGGGGCACCTTGGGAATATGTTATTTGTATGATTTCTGTGCTTGCATATGCAGCAGTTGGGTAAAACCTGTGCCAAGGATCTGGAAGTGGAAATAAGTTGCTCTGAGCTGCAGTGGAAGGGCAGGGAGTGAAGGTGACAGCTTTTTCCTTTGCTCTCTGATGCAACCAGGACTAGAAGTTCCAGACACTGAAGAGGAATAGGCTTTAGATGACATGAAGCTGCTGGAATTTGCAGGCTTTCTGTGGTGTTGTGACACTGCTCACTCCTGGCAGCAGTTACGGAAAGGATTTGTCTGGTTTTCCTGGCTCTTACTCTGGTATTTTTTCCATCAGGAGGTTTTACCATTCAGCCCTACAAGGGTGCCCAGAAGCCAACCCCAATGGAGCTGATGCGTGCTCAGGCTACCAGGATGCCAGAGGATCCAGTCAGCTTCAAGCCACCCAAAATGGACATTCCAGTCACAGATGGGAGGAACCAATCTCCACGTTCCCACAACATCAAGCCTCGGGATCTGAACGTGCTCACTCCCACTGGCTTCTAGAGGAATGCTTTGGTGTCTTTAGCAGGCTACAGGGTGTCTTAGGCTCTGCTTGTCCCATGTGTTGCAGCAAAATAGGAAAGTCTCCCTTCCAGCTCGTCAGAAAAGGAAACAGTTGTGACTGTTGTACTAAAGCCACTCTTGGAAAAGCTCCTGCATGAGTCCTTAGCCAATGTAAACTATCCTGTCTGCTGCACTGCACCAGTTCAGGCTGCCAGGCTGCATGGAATGTGCTTCCCAGTACACCACACCACAGGGAAACCCTGAGCCACGGTTTTTGGGACAGGACTGCATGAGGTGTGTGAGCTTGTCTGCCTGTAGCCTGGTCGTCTTGTCCTGCTCAGTGCTGAAGGACCTGCAGGAGGACAGTGGTTCTGTCTGGCATATACAGAGCACCAGCAGGAAATGATGAGAACAAGCAAGGACTGAAAACTGGACCATTAACTGCCAGAAGGAATGTGCTAGGTCAGTTTAAATGTGGCGTTCCCTTATTTATCCAGTGTGACCATGTAGTTCAACATTTAGTTCTTCTTTGTTCTTGGAATGTTTTTTTTCCAAAGGAAGAGTGGATCAGTGATCATGCTAAGATCATGCTAAACTGGAAAGGCAGGGTGCAGAACCTAATGGAGCTTGGCAGTATTGAAGAATTCCTTCTTTTTCAACTCCTCATGTCTCTGAAAAGGTGGAAATGACCAAAGCTGGTGTGGATTCAACCATGCAATCCTCTCTTCTTTCTGCAAAACACTGTCCTGCCTTCTAGACAGCAGCTTGCAGGTGTTTTGGCTCTCTGGGTGCTGCTTGATTTGGTTTTGATTTGTTATACTTTTTTTTCCCCTAGCATCTTGTATGAAAGTGTATTAGAGACTTCTCAAATGGAGTATTTTGCTCTATCAGCATTAAATGTGTCCTGCAGGGCTGGGGGAGGACTGAGGGCAGGTCAAGGCTAGACATTCCTCCCTGCTCTGGTGCAGCTGGATGTAATTCTTGGCCAGGTCAGAAACAGTTACTGGGAACAGCTAACACTTGCTTTCCTGTAATGTGGAAGGAACTCCTGGCTTAATCCCTTAAGCATGATAGGCAGCGCTGCTGTATAATCCTCACCTGTCCTGTGGCTAACAGGTCCCCTCAGGACTCTTGTGTTGCAGAGTCCCTCAGCCAGCAGCAGCCTTTCTGTAGCAGTGAGGAGGCAGCAGCAGCAGCCTTGCATCTGGAACTGGAAGCTTCTCTGTTGCCAGGACATTACACAGAGGTTACTTAACAGCTGGTAATCATTGAGCTCCAGGGTTTCTGCCTTCTTAAACCAAACATCCCTCCTGGAGGGTGAGGCATGGTTGGCTCACTTGCTGGCTGCTGTCCCCTCTGAAGCAGCACGTTTTGTGGTACTGCTTTCTCTCAAGCTTCAGCAGCACTGCCAGTGATGTGTTGTATGAAAGTTTCTCACCCAACCCAGCAGTTGTCACTGTCACCACTCATTTGCACCTTGGCAGTCAGGTTCTCTCATTTGACATTAATTTATTTGTCTGTATTCACATCTCCTAATGTGTGTGTTTGTTTTGTTTGTTACAGGAGAATAAAAATCCTTGTTGAATGGAGGTCTGTGGGATGTGTGTCAGTGTTGGCAGAGCATCTGTGGGAGAAATGTGAGGCTGTCCAGTGAGAGTAAAGGTTCTGCCAAAGAAAGCTCTGGCAGCACTTCAGTAGGGTGAAATGTTTGCTCACAAACTCCCCTTTGACAGGGAGAGTGGGTTTAAAGCCAGGCTCAGTCCTGTCTTAGGGCTTGTGCAAATGAATTTAAACATGAAATCTCTGTGTTTTCTTGGGCTATTCAAATTGTACACGTTTCTGAGATTCTCTTGCTGCCGGTGTGCTGTGTTTGCACCTGTACTGCAGAGGTGAGCACAGGAAAAGACACCTGTATGAGCATATTGTGGAGGAAAAGCAGCTTTCCAGAGCAGGGAGCACTTCAGTTTGCACTGTCAAGAATGCTTCTGGCTACTACTCCCCTAAGAGACTTCACTTTTCCCTGAATGGTTTATCCCTGGATTAGAGGAGTAGTGTCACGCGAATGAGTGTTCTGCACCCAGCAGTTGGAAAGAAGCTTCCTAAAGGATAAGGAGCAAACCTGTGAGCCCCAGGTCAGATCCTTCAGGGCAGTTCTGGGCTAACTAAAGCCAGGACTGCTGTGTTCCCAGCTGTGACTACTGCTTGATGCTCCTGTGCTCTGGTGTCCTGGTTAGGACCCTGCCAAGGGTGGTGCAGCTACAGGAGGAGTTTTTCTCCCACTCCCAACCTCTGTTGCTTCAGAACTGAGACCTATAAAGCATCTGCCTGTTCTCTGACCTCAGCTGTGATTTTTGTTGATGGTTGTGGATTTGAATTCAATATTCATCCTGACCATAATGCCCATATCTGCCTGCACTGCAGATGCTTCAGTGGTTCTGAAAGAGGCACAGTCTTTTCAGCCCATGCTGCTGTCCTGCTCTCCCTCTTGACATCCTAATCACCTTGGGCAAAGTTACATAAATTACTTGCTTTGGAGTGGAAGTGTTCCTCTCCTGAGGACAGACCAGCATGGCTCAGGGATCTCTGCACGGTCAATGGCTTCACTGCACCTCTTTTTTTTAATTTTTAAAGATGATCATCTTTTCCTGAATATTAACCAGGTGTTTGGGCATTTTGCTTCCTGTGCAAACTATTGTCAGAGTCCACGGCTGAAAGAGGCTCAGAAAATACAAAAATAATTTAATTTTGTTAAAAGTGTACAATGTGCCCAGCAAGAATGAGAAGTTTGAAAGGGAATTCTGAGATATAAACCAGAAAACATGTAAACAAAACCTTTTTGCAAAGAAATGTATAAACTAACCCAAATGACATTGAGGCTGCAGTATGAGATGAGGGTTTTGAGAAGGTTTTATAGTGGAAACATATGAAGTGCTTTAACCCCAGTCCTGCAGTGGTTGTCTCCAGGTAGCAGTGGCAATGGAGAGCAACTCCTGCAGCATGCACAGTTTCTCCTGGATTTGTGGGGGGAATGGCTGCCCCAGGACCTTTTGCACTCTGATGATGAAGTCCTCTATCTTCAGCTGGATGTCCAGATGGCTGATGTCATCGCTGTCCTGGAGCTTGGGCTTGGCTCTCTGAACTATCAACTCCATCCTGTCACTGAGCTCGCTCCTCAGGTGCTCTGCAAGAGGAAGTGCTGGTGGGGAAAGGCCACACACAACAGGTTGTCTGACCAGTTGGGATCGATCACAGAGTGCTGCACTGTGGTGAGGAGCAGCTGGGCTGATCGTCTCCTGATTATCCTTGTTGCCTCCACACAGGACTGGCTTGGGAGAAGGAACTGACTCCTCCTGGAGCTCAGTCTGCACGTGGAAGGAGACCAAGAAATGGGGAGGGGGCAAGGCTTATAGCATCCTTTGCTTCTGTGCTAGTGACAGACTGGGCAGCTGCAAAGGAGTCTCCAAAGAGCGCAACAGTGATAGTTTAGGGCTTCAGGGAGAGTCAGCTATGCATGTGTAATGGTGGATTGCTCTGCATTAACATAACATGGCCTGGGTTGGAAGGGATGATAAAGTTCATCTAGTTCCTCCCCCTGCCATGGACAAGGACACCTTTCATTAGACCAGGTTGGTGCAAGCCTCATCCAACCTGTCCTTGAACAATTCCAGGGATGGTGCAGCCACAGCTCCTATGGGTGGCTTGTGCCAGTCAGTGCCTCACCAGCCTCACAATAAAGAATATTTTCCTAATATCTCATCTAAACCTACTGTTAGTTTGATCCCATTCCCCCTTGTCCTGTCACTACATGCTCTTGCAAATAGCCCTATGATCCTTCCAGCTCAGGATATTCTATGATCCCTTTGCCTTTTGCTTTTTCTCCTAAACCACCCTATTCTTCCACCCACTGTGTAGCAACTTAGACAAGGGGTACACAGCACCCCCTTGTGTACTTCCCAGTGCTGGGAAGTGCTTCCTTCCTTTAGGAACAAGGTTATTTTGTAGGGGCTAAAATTGGCAATGCAAACTGGATGCTCTGGTTGATGCAACATCACTACTTTGACTACTGGGAATAGTTACTAGCAGGGATGAAGGCATGTTGTCCTAAGACTCAGTGTTGCTGAGTTCAAGAGTGATGAGAACAGAGAAGGAAGAGTGATTTGGCTGTTTTACTACAGCCTCTTGATGAGATTGAGTTTGTTAAGGCCAGAACAAGCTGCTTACCCAGTATTACACTTTGGTAACTCATCAACAGCAAATTCAAGTACTGCAGCATCTCATCCCATGCTGCTGTTTCATCCTGTGACAGGAGACAGTATTTGGTTATTGGAAGTTTTCTCAGGAGACAAGGCAAAGGAGAGGTTGGACTGGATACCTGGTATTGCAGCAACATAGAGGAGTGGCTCAGGAAATACAGGATCTTTTCCAGAGACATGGGCAAGGTTGTGGGCATGTCACAACTGTGCAGGAACAACACCTCTAGCAGTTTGCAGCGCAGGAGCTGACTCTCCATAGTGTTTAAGAAAGCTTCCCTGGAAGACAAAAGGAGTTTACTTTACGACAGACAGCATAGCCTGACCAGAGGCAACTGCTCCAGCATGTTCCTGGTGTGTTGCTGTGCTGACCCAGTGCAGATGTGGGGTGATTGCAGGGGCTGCCCAGCTGTGCCATGGGGGGAAGACCACCAGATGTGATAGAGCCCTTTATTATGCAACTTGGTCATGGCCATGTTTACATCCTCAGGTGTGGCCTGTGGCAGCTGG